TTGTGTGTCTCAATATACGGATCCACCAAAGAGGAGTTCTGTAGAACTGTGTAGTGCGCTTTATTGAAATAATCATCATCCGTACCAATATATGTTTTCCTCCCTAGTGTCCCCTTTCCGCTTAGTCTCCCCTCATGTCTCGATTCAGGAACACCAATTGAGTCAAGGTCGGGAATAAAGTCAACACAGAACTCAATGACCTCTTCTGTTCCATAGCCCTTGGCGATGCTTCCTTCTGGGCGAGCACGGTTGTGAACATATTTCTTCAGGACTCCCATGAATCTCTCTAAGGGGAACATGTTGTGTAGGAACACAGGACCGAGAGTGAAAATCTCCTTGACTAGGTGAACTAGGAGGTGTGTCACAATATCAAAGAAGGAAGGAGGGAACACCAACTCAAAGCTGACGAGACATTGAACCACATCATTCTGTAGTTTAGCTAGATCAGTTGGATCAATTGCCTTATGAGAAATTGCATTGAGGAATGCACATAGCTTCACGGTGGCTAGACGTACATTTGGAGGTAGAATTCCTCTTAATGCAACTGGAAGTAATTGCGTCATGAGAACATGACAGTCATGGGACTTTAAGTTACAGAATTTCTTCTCTGGCACATTTATAATACCCTTTATATTCGAGGAGAATCCAGATGGTACCTTGATGTTGTTTAAGCATTCAAACATGATTTCCTTCTCTTTGCTTAGAGTGTAGCTAGCAGGACATAAGTAATGGCGTCCATCATCTGTCTTCTCTGGATGCAGGTTGTCTCTTTCTCTCAAACAAAGCAGGTCCTGTCGTGCTTCAAATGTGTCCTTAGGCTTTCCATACACACCCATAAAGCCTAGCAGGTTCACACAAAGATTCTTCGTTAGGTGCATCACGTCGATCGAGCTACGGACCTCCAGGACTTGCCAATAGGGTAGGTCCCAAAATATGGACTTCTTCTTCCACATGGGTGCATGACCGTTAGCGTCTTTCGGAATTTGTTGGCTTCCATGTCCTTTTCCAAAGACGACTTTCACATCATTGACCATATTGAGTACATCCTCACCGGTTCGGTTGCGAGGCTTGGTCAGGTGGTCTGCCTTCCCTTTAAAATGCTTGTCTTTCTTTCTTACGGGATGATTTGCAGGAAGAAATCGACGATGGCCAAGGTACACGACCTTTCGACATTTTTTCAAGAATACACCTCTAATATCACCGAAGCAGTGTGTGCATGCATTATATCCCTTGTTTGATTGTCCTGAAAGATTACTTAGAGCAGGCCAATCATTGATTGTTACGAACAACAATGCTCGCAGATCAAAGTGTTCCTGTTTATACTCATCCCACACACGTACACCTTCTTTATTCCATAAAATGAGAAGTTCGTCAATAAGTGGTCTCGGTACACATCGATGTCATTGCCAAAGTTGCTTCGGGCCTTGGATGAGCATGAGCATCATAATGAATTTCCGCTTCATGCATAACTAAGGAGGAATGTTGTAGATACTTAGAGTAGTAACAGGCCAAGTGCTATGACTACTGTTCGCTCTCCAAAAGGATTGATACCATCGTACTTAAAGCAAACCTTAAGTTTCTTGCGTCATTTGCAAACTCAGAATTCTCTCGTCGATTGCTCTCCACTTTGGGACCCATCGAGGTGTCTCAACATATTGTCTACCTTACGGTCTTCTTTGTGCCATCGTAACAATTTTGCATGTTCTTTGTTTTCGAACAGACCTTTCAAGCGTGGTATTATAGGAGCATACCACATAACCTTGGCAGGGATTTTCTTACGCGGACGTTCGCCCTCAACATCACCAGGGTCATCTCGCCTGATCTTATATCATGACGCATGGCATACCGGGCATGCATCCAATTTCTCGTACTCTTTGCCACGGTACAAGATGCGATCATTAGGACATGCATGTATCTTCTCTATTTCTAGCCCCATAGGATGAGACAACTTGTTTTGCTTTCAGAGGTAGTGGCGGGCAATTCATTGTACTTCGGAAGCATCTTCTTTTGGATTTTTAGTAACTCTCCAAATCCCTTGTCAGATACACCATTCTTTGCCTTCCATTGCAGCAATTCTAGTGTGGTTCCCAACTTTTTCTGCCCTGCATCACAAGTTGGGTACAACAATTTCTTATGATCTTCTAGCATCCACTCGAACTTGATCTTCTCCTTTTCACTTTCACATTCTCTTTGTGCGTCACGAATGACTGACAAAGATCATCACCGGCTCATCTTCTGCGGCTACCTCTTCTTGACTTCTCCCATTGCGGTATCATTGAAGCACGCTTTCATCGGAATAATATCATTGTCGTCCCATTGTTCTTCTTCACCTTCTTCCATTACAACACCGGTTTCTCCGTGCTTTGTCCAACAAATATAGTTTGGCATGAAACCCGACTTGAACAAGTGTGAATGAAGAGTCCTTGAGCAAGGATATTCCACCGTATTCTTACATATGGCACATGGGCAAAGCACATGAAACCGTCGTGTTTGTTTGCCTCGACAAGACGTAACAAAAGAATGCACGCCGTCAATGAACTCTTGGGAGCGGCGATCAGCATTATACATCCAATGACGGCTCATCGCATTACATGACATAAATATTATATTAAAACCTAGATCATAATTAATTATTTATACAACATGCGTGCCACCATAAAAGATACAAATTTATGAAAGCATCGCTACAATGTAGACAATCCCAACTACCACTAAAAGAACTAAAGCTAAAATACATTTCAGGAGCACAAGGATTTCATGACCAATCTCAACTAAAGCAGATGATCCCCGATTGTGCAACATCTTTGGGCTTCTTCTTTGGATCATCGCCTCATTAGCCGTCAGATTCATTGTTGTGCAAGATATTTTACATGAGTTCAACATACTCTTCCTCCCAAAGAGAAGCCTGAACATCGCCCACCGCCATCCCATTGAAAATTAAAACAAAAATTAGAACTTTAATCACAACCATCATGAAAATAGGTATAAACTAACCATAATCATTAAATACGATAAAATAACTCACATTGCGATCCGGACACTTGTAGAAGATACGATCCTTGTTGGGACCCTCCTTCTTCACTCGGTACTCCATCACAATCTTCGTCTCATCACGACACTTGCCGCATGGAATGAGAGAAAGGCCCGGCCTAAGTCGCTTTGGAAACCCATGAGAGGCCGAGGACCCGTAAGCAGTTGCCATCTACTCTCTATACTCATTTTTTAATACACTATAAATTTCTGCTTTTATAAACAAATAAAATTAACAAACTATAAAATTATCTAGATCTCTAAACAATGATATTTTTAATGGTCATTGTGTTCTCGTCTTTTACTGTGGCAGGTAAGTAATTCACATGATATTTCCGCAAATTAACAGAAGAATGGGAGTGTACACACATAACAGACTACTACGACGATATCGGGACGTGTGAATAAATAACCATCCGTACTAGTTGACCTTGCTTACGTGATCATCTCGGCGAGCATTTCTCCACCGGACGGCACCGCATTTTGGTTACGCGGAAGAGCTCCAATTCTACGAGGAAGGGAACACGGTCTTCCACGACCGTTGCCGCTCTCCCTCGTAGAATCAAAGCTCCTCCTTGACGTCCGTTACCGCTCGGCAGAGAACATGCTCGCCGAAATGAACATGGCCCGCTAGTTCAACTAGTATGGATTTTCTATAATTTTCTAACTATTTTCTAAGTTTTTATTTATATATACTACGTTTAGGTACGGTGATTGACAGACTACTGCGACGATATCGGGACATGTGAATAAATAACCATCCGTACTAGTTGACCTTGCTTACGTGATCATCTCGGCGAGCATTTCTCCACCGGACGGCACCGTACTTGGTCAAGGAAGAGCTCCGATTCTACGAGGAAGGGAACACGGTCTTCCACGACCGTTGTCGCTCTCCTCGTGAGAATCAAAGCTCCTCCTTGACGTCCGTTACCGCTTCGGTAGAGAACATGCTCGCCGAAATAACACGGTCCGTAAGTTCAACTAGTAACGGATTTGCTATAATTTTCTAACTATTTTCTAAGTTTATATTTATATATACTTTAACCTTCTTTCATGTAAATATGCAAGCTTGAAGTGATTTTGAGCTCAAATTGCTTACAAATGAAAAAAACCACAATAAAGAACCATAAATATATATAGTGAACAAAATGGCATAAGAAAATGGTGAAAAATGAGAGTATGAGATTGGTAACCTTTACAACTGAAGAATCGACGGAGGAATCGAAGAAATCGATGGAGGAATCGAAGAATGGATGGAGGAACAATGGAGGGAGGGAGAAAGCAAGAACACTACTTCAATGAGCTTCAAAATGTGCTGAGCTCGGGCTCAGGGAGGAAGGAGGAGACGGCCGATTTATAAAGGGAGAACATTTAGTTCCGATTGATGGATCCAACCGGGACTAAAGGTAACTTTCCAACCCCGGGCGCAGCCACGGCTCGGGAGTAGACCTTTACTCCCGGTTGGAGCCACCAACCGGGAGTAAAAGTATACCTTTAGTCCCGGTTGGTGGCTCCAATCGGGACTAAAGGTCCCTACCGCCTCTGTCTGATGCAGTAGCCGTTGGGCAGGGACCTTTAGTCCCGGTTGGAGCCACCAACCGGGACTAAAGGTATCTCTAGTCCCGGGCGCAAAAAATTTCAGGACTAGAGCCCATTTTGACCGAGGATCAAAGGTCTGTTCTCTACTAGTGTTTGTAGGACGGCCTGGGAACCGCCCCTATAAATACATAATTTATAAAGACGGTTCGGTAGGGACGGCTGGCCAAACCGCTCCTACAAAGGATTACCAGCCGCCCCTAAAAATGCTTTTTGTAGTAGTGGATAATCTATTCCCTGGACATGAATATTTGGAGATAGACTGTTGTTTGGACGTGAAATTCGAGCCATCAATACCTAGGAGCGCCAGGTATATAATATCAGGAAGTAAACAGTACCCACGGTTGTTTAATTGGCCATCATTCAAGAAAGTCATGGGGCTATCCACATCTGCTTCATCATCCAAGATGGAAATCAAGTACAGCGAACAGCTATCTTGTGGATCATTGGATTCTCTTCGACAACTCGACTGTGAAGAATTAACTGTTGACACCTGCAGCAATCCTGTCCCGTTGCCAGAGTGCACTCGGGGCTGGAAATCCTTCCGAAAGCTGGAGATATTGAACTGTCAGAACATGGAGACACTGCCAAAATGGTTGGGAGATATGGCTTCTCTCCGTGAGCTCAAAGTAGAGATCTACTACATGATGAAAACTCTGCCTCCGTGCATTGGGAGGCTTACATCTTTGCAGACCTTGGCACTACTGGAATGCACAAAGAAGTTTAAGCAAAGATGTAGTGAGGGAGGAGATGATTGGAGCAAGATAAAGCACATTGACAATCTAATCGTAGAAGAGATATGAAGCCATGAGAAATATTGGTGTTGCCGTGCTCTAAGATTGGTGAGGAGGTCCAGAGGCTATTTAGCACCATCGCCAGGCTCATGGAGGACCACCGCCAAGCCTGACTGCATGGCGTGCGACAAGATCTCCACTGATGCAAACATGAGGGAGATGATATCCCCTGGTGCTCTTGTGGTCCACAGACCTCTTATTGTCTGGTTTTGTGTGGTTTTTTTTGTCCGTTGTCGAGCTCCTCTGGAGTTCTTCCGCAGTTCCGCTCATTTATGTTGTTAAGGTTGGTAAATTCTAATTTTTTTCTTTGGTATCAAACTAACAATCACTGTAAATTCTTGACATGTTTTCTATGCCGTTTGCGTTCAGATTGCCATCTCTGCATTCAGCGCTGGTGGAAGGTGCTTGGGACAACGCGCGAAACACATTTGAGGTAAACTCTTCTGAATAAACCTGACAGTTTATGTAAGAAATAGGTGTATGTAAGAAACACATTTGAGGTCCGCTCTTATATTGCCTTAGATTCCTCTTAATATATAAAAATCTGACAATTAAGAATTTTATCTGTGACGTTTATGTAAGAAAAAGTATTAGCATATACTATATGTTATAGAGAAGTATCACTTGACCAATGATGTCCCCTCCTTTGTTTTCAGTTTGCTGTTACTGTATTGTAATGCTGTTGTGCTTATATATAAGCATCATGCTATCGCCTAGCTCCCCAAACATTATTGTGGTAGGCGCAGCAACGAACAGTATTTTTCTCTCACAACAAATCAGCCAACAGTACTTTCAGTCATGGCTTTTCAGCCATGACGTGTCATCTCCACTCCTTGCATGCAAGGAGATGTTGCTTACGACGACCTATGCATCCTGTCATCCAGATGAACTAATATCTCGTGCTTGCACCATTGATTGTACCTACGGACAGAGCAAGTTAATTAATGAACTATGGCATATGTGCTGCAACAATGGCGCAACAAGGCACCGGCATGCCTTGCATGAAATGAAAGGTCACCGCGCTGACCGGTCTGTACAACCCACCGTTCAGTCAGGATAATTCAATTGTCGTCTGGTGCGGAAGGGGATAACTTGGCCCAAATTGTGACGAATTGTAACAATGATTAAGCTTGCAGAATACCTTGACGGTCTTTTTTTTAGAATAGAATACATTGACGGCCAGATTTGATTTATACTCCTACTTCCTGTAGACTATTAGTATGGGCACTGTGCATAACCAACCCATACTCCTAGAGTTCTGTACTCCCTCAATACTAAAAAAATAAAGTCGTTTTGGACAAGACTTGGTCAAACATTGGAAATATAAATCATGAATAACTTTTAAGTTGTTGAGTTTAGAAATGTGAAAACCATATGTATAGATTTGTCTTGAAAAATATTTTCACAAAAATTTACATATATCACTTTTTGATAAATATCTGTATAAAAATAAGTAGTCAAAGTTATACTTTGGAGACTGTATCGCTGTCAAAAACGACTTTATTTTTTTAGCATGGAGCGAGTATTCGGTATTTTGATTACGGAAGTTTTTCAGGACATGTCGCGCCTATCAGGGCCAGGGAGTATTGGGCCAAGGTTGATTCGAGTCGAAGTCAAAAGTGCGACCGTGCGATCACCTCACTGGTCCTGTCTCCTGACTCCTGAAAGTGGCAGCGGATCAACCGATTCTGAATTCGAAGCTTGACCTTTCGTTTGGTTTGAGAAACGCAAAGTGCTAGTTCCCAGAGAGCCGGTTAGCAAGTGTCGACAAATGCACTGAATCTTCGATGCTGTAACAGGCCATGAGATTTTGATGGACCGACCGAATCAAAGAAAAAGATTATGCTTCATGATGAGTGAGTTTTCTTAAGTTTTCAAGGCCCTGATTCCACGTATATGCAAATATTATTGTTTATTATACGTGATAAAAGGATGGATTATTCCTGCATAAATTAAGTTATTTTCTTGGTGCGTACGATTTTGGTTGCAACGGACAGCCATATTTGCTGGTCTGTGTAACAGGCTTTCACGGGAGTAGGTCTGACGAGCGAAGCCGCGAAGGCGATTCCACGAAATGAACCAAACACTAGCGTAGGTCGCGAAGGTGATTCCATCTCAGAGCTTACAGTTGTATTAGGTGATTAGGTGAAAACTGAAATTCACCCGAAGGATAGGATAGGAGATGCAGAAAAGCACTCAGACCTTAGTCACCTTACTATGTGGATTACTCCTCCGTCTCAAAATAAGTGATGTTTTCGTTTTCCGAGAAACGACTACCGGCAATTATATATTAAAATATATAAATATTTATGCTAAGTAATTAGTATCATCGAAAAGATCTTTTTGTCTAGTTTTTTAACAAATTTATTTGAAGATGTAAATATTGCATGTATTTTTTATAAATTGAGTTAAACTTGTGGCACGAAAACCGAAAACGTCTTTTATTTTAGGACTGAGTGAGTACGTGGGTAACCGGAGAGTTCCAATTGCTCAGACTTGACGCGTCAGCTGTCACTTTCACTGGCTCACTGCCGGCCAATTGACTTGACTTGCCGAGCGGAAGAAAGTTCGCGTGACAGGCCGGTTCGGTTGGCAGAATCAATTAGCTGGTTGTGTGAAAAAGAAATATTATTTGGCTAGATGAATAAATGATGCCGTGTGAGGGGAAACCAGCCTTAAGACCAGCGAACAGCCAGTGTGTGGTGTGGTGCCATCGGCAGTCCGCACATGGACTACTTGACCAAGAGGCATGCATGCATGAGAAGATAACGTCTCTGTTCTGCCAACCTTTTACTTGGTCCCTCTATCAGAAAAAAAATTCATTGACCTGGATTTATTCTCATACTTCTCCCCCAGTCCCCAACTACGGCCACCACACACTTCTCCCAACGTCTTGTAAGTATAAGTTTAGAATGGACTGATAGTACTTTCCACCACTGTAATAAAGGATTGCTCCCTCGGTCATGTAATATAGCACGATCTAACATTCAAAATTTATCCTCAAATATAATACATTCTAAGGATAAAAATTAATTTTGTATTAAATATTTTTTATTTATCAACCAACCACCATCAATCACGTCGATGATAACGTCTGATTAGGAAATAAAATGAGGGTACGTTCGTCTTTTATGTTCTCTTTTTTTTCTCGAATACGCAAAAGATATGCACATCATTGTAATTAAAAAGAAGAATATAAACGATGCACTTCTAACGAGCTCTCTAGGAGTTCATACAACCGTAGGCTGGACCGTCCTAACAACCCATTTCAACCTTTGATATATTACATAAAAGGATTACAACCTACCTAAGGGCGGTGCTGCAACCTACGAAGTTGAGCATCTCCACTACTGGCTGCGTGATCCTACTTCGGTGTCCGAGAAGAGCACGTTGCTTCTTCTGCCAGCCCTATTGTTGGTCGCTGGGAACAGCTCGTCCAAAGCTTCAACTTGGCTTGACGTCAAGTTTCCTGCGAATATGGCGTTGTATGCTCGTTGGGACACAGATGAAATTGGTGCTGCCGTCGGCGCGATGCCCATCCTCTTCATGAGTAGTACCTCGCACCGCTTGGAGGTTGCTATGTGCGCTAGCGGCTCAGCGGCAATCCGTCTGCTCCTGACTGGCAGTTGTCGCTTTGTGGTTGTCGCCTTCTACCTTGGTGGACTGGCGATTAAAGGTGACTTTCGTTTGAGCTGCACCTCCTCGGTGAACCGTGCGAGACGCCGAGTAGCCTCACGTGGCGTGGGCGCCATGTCGCTGGGGGTGGGCGTGGCCACCGTGATCTCATCTTCGACATCGGGTTGCCCCACCCATGGTGGCGTGAGCTCTGGCAGCTCCTGCACCAGCGACAATGGAGGTGAGTCCGTCGTACGCTGAGCAGCCGTCACCGGTGAACGGCCATCACCGGTGAACGGGTATCCGTCAGCGATGCGTCCACTTCAAAGGCGACCGCCGGAACAGTCAAGCACCCAGGCGCTGGTGCTCTTGCAGAGGGGCTCACGACCAACGAGGCAACGAGCTCCTCCAACATTGGGTCAACCCACGCCGGAGGCCCCTCGCACGCACACAGCTCCACCGCCAGCGGATCTGGCCCGGAGAAGCTCCACCACCAGCGGATCTAGCCCGGAGAAGCAGCGTGCAACAGCAGCGACAGAGGTCGCGGCATTGTCGACGTAGTTTGCCGGCGCGCCCAAGTTTGCGTCGCCGGCTTGCTCCGGCGTCACCGCCTTCCTATGTCACGAAATGGATGAGTGTTGCAAACTAAACAGGCTCCATCTCAGAGAGTTCCAATTGCTCAACCTCTTGCGCCTTGTTCGCTCGGCTTATAAGCCGTACTTTTTCAGTCAACGAACAGTATTTTTTCACTCATAATAAATTAGTACCTTCAATCATTACTTATCAACCAAGCGAACAGACCATTGATGTTGGACATTGCTACAGCTCAGCTCTCACTGTCACTGCTTCCGGCCTGCAGGCCTATTGACTTGACTTTGCATGACAGTGTGTGGTGCCCAGTGGCCCCCGATCCAGGGAAGACTTGGCCAAGAGTCATGGTCCGGGGCGCAAGCGCGTGCAGCTGAATTTCTGGGCTGGATGCTCTGCTTCGGCCGTACGCCGTGTGGAGCACGGTCTGGATTTATGAGTTGGAGATTCATCGTGAGAAGAAAACTTTTCAGCCACTTTTTATCAGCCAAACGAACGATATTAATCTTGACCTTGCTACAACTACAGGCTCTTCCACTTTGCTCAGCTCTCACTGTCACTGCTTCCGGCCTGCAGGCCAATTGACTTGACTTTGCATGACAGTGTGTGGTGCCCAGTGGCCCCCGGTACAGGGAAGACTAGGCCAAGAGTCATGGTCCGGGGCGCAAGCGCGTGCAGCTGAATTTCTGGGCTGGATGCTCTGCTTCGGCCGTACGCCGTGTGGAGCACGGTCTGGATTTATGAGTTGGAGATGAACCCACTAGCGTAGCGTCACGCGCGGACGATCAAACAAGCGACAGGGACGGACGGGTTCCGTCTGAGAACGAACGAACGTCTGCACGTGACGCTACGCTAGTGGCTTCAGCTTCAGCCGAGCGAGCGGCTTGAACGTTTCTGTCCTGCCAATCTTTTCCTTGGTCCCTCTATCAAAAAAAAAAAAAAAAAAAGAGAAACTTTTGATTGGTCCAATGAGTAACGGGATAACCTCATGTTGCTCCCATTTTCTCTCACACTTCTCCCCGGTCCGAACTAGACGGTCACCGCGCATTTCTCTCGACATCTTATAATTTGGAATGAAGTGATTATAAGTTTAGAATGGAGAAAATACTTAAGTACTGATAGTACTTTCCACCACTGTAAATAAAGGATTACATTATATATTCAGAATCCCTTTTGACGTATAGCTGATCTATGGGATACAAATATATAAAATCAACTTGCCACACAAATACTGAACAATGGTGCTATTGGTTGTAATGTTTGGTTGATGGTTAATCATTAATTAATTCACCAAATTAGCTAAACTACCTGTTTTTTTTTCCAAAACCCTAACTGAAGTTCTAGATTCAGTTTCAATCTACCTCTACTCTTCTCTCTTGATCTATCTAACCATTTAGAATTAGAGGTTGATGAAGACGAACATTTGATAGTAAGGAAGTTTTTTGAGTTTCTACATGGAATCGGGAGAAAAAGAAAGGAGAAGATGGGCTGTCAGGCTGCTACAGTGCGCTACGAGCTGTCTGCATGCTTCACCGTCGGTGTCTGCCCGCCGACCGTTTTCCACAGCCTTCTCGCGCTTGGGCACGCAGCTGCTTCCCCAGCCACGTCGCAAGCAGGTGCTAGACGTCCAGGAGCCGCGCCCCTCTCCCTTATCTCGCCGAGCTGGCCGCCATCTCCTCCTTCTCCTCTTTCTGCCGCCGCCGTCGAGCTCATGGTTCGCCGGCAATTTCTCCACCACCGCTCGCCCGCTGTTCGATTGCTCGCGCAGCTAGCTTCACCACCCCCTTGCGCATCGCTTAAGCCAGCTAGTGCCGTTCCTCTCCACCGAAGCCGACCGTGCGCCACTGCCTTCCTCAGTGACGTCTGCAGCGCCGCCGTGAGTGAGGCGAGTGTGCTGGTGACCTTCCCGTCACCGGCGATCTCGCCGTTGATCTTGTCCGCCGCGCCAGAGCGCCGCCGGGCCGCCATGGCCGTCTGCGTGCTTGCTGTTGTGCCCTAACCATTCAACTAGTACCGCCAACGTGTGCGCGAGAGAGAGGAGTCCGCCAGAGTTGATCTCGTCGCCGGCGAGGTCACCGCCAGCGAGTTACCCGCCGGTCAACGGCGTGTGCGCCACGGTCAGCGCGGGCGTAATGTGCGTTGATCCAGGGGCCCGGTGAAAGCTCTAGTTTGATTTTGGTGAATTGATAAAACCCTAATTGCTAACCTAGTTTATCAAAAAGATTATGAGATAGGTGGCACATTTCAAGTGGTGAAGCAAATGAAGATCATGACAGGATGTGGTGATGGCATGGTGATGATCAAATGCTTGGACTTGGAAAAGAAGAAAGAAAAACAAAAAGCTCAAGGCAAAGGTGAAATTGTTAGGAGCTTTTCGGTTTAGTGATCGAGACACTTAGAGAGTGTGATCACATTTAGGATTGATAGCCGTACTATTAAGAGGGATGAAAATCGTATCGAAATGCGGTTATCAAAATGCCACTAGATGCTCTAACTCATTGCATATGCATTTAGGATCTAGTGGAGTGCTAACACCCTTAAAAAAATTTGTGAAAATATGCTAACACACATGCATAAAGGTGATAAACATTGTGTTTTAGCACTTGGGAGCAAGGGCTCGAAACTTCACCGTGCGGACAGTCCGACGGTGCCACCGACGTCCTGTACAGAAAAGACAGGGTTTCACAGAGTGCACCGGACGCTGGTCACACAGTGATCGGACGCTAGGTCCTGCGTCCGGTCAGTGGCGCACAGTGAAGGCCGCCCTTGGTCTCTTGACCGGACGCAGGCGACCGGACTTTGGCTGAACACTGTTCAGCGTCCGGTCCTGTTGATGTGGCAGCGCACAGAGAAGACCGTGAGTGACCGAACACCGGGCGAGTCCGGTCGCGACTGGAACCTTACTGGAAGTGACCAGATGCTGGGGTCCTGTGTCCGGTCCTACACTATAGAGCGTCCGATCACAAATTAAGTGCACTGATGGCCGTTGAGATCGGATGATCAACATTTAAAGCAGGGGCCACGTGACGTGCATCGCGCAACCGGACGTTGGGGTCCTGTATCTGGTCGATCTGACCGACGCATCCGGTTGCCTCGATTTTTTAGTGGACTGTGGAGCCAACGGATCTATTTTGTGGGGCTTCTATTTAAGCCATATGGCCGACTCAAGCTCACTTCCTTGGCCATTTACATTGACATAGCAACCTTGTGAGCTTAGCCAAAGCCCTCCCACTCATCTCCGTCATTGATTCATCATCTTTGTGAGATTGGGAGAGAATTCAAGTGCATTGCTTGAGTGATTGCATCTAGAGGCACTTGGTGTTTGTGTTTCGTTGCGGGATTCACTTGTTGCTCTTGGTTGTTGCCGCCACCTAGATGGCTTGGAGCGGTGGAGGAGGATTGGCACGAGTTGGCGATTGTTCGTGGCCATCTCCCGGTGACTGTGAGGGGTCTTGTGCCTTCACCGTGAAGCGTCGAAAGATAACTCTAGTGGATTGCTCGTGTCATTGAGTTATCTCACTTATGGGTAGGTTCTTACGGTGTCCAATTGTGTGGACGAGGTTCGTGCAACACCTCTTAGCCGCCGAACCACCAAGTGTTGGTCGACACAACGGGGACTAGCGTGTCGGTAAGCACGTAAACCTCAGGAGAAAAATTGATTGTCTCTTGCACTTTGGTATTCTCCCGGTGATTGAGTTAGTATTCATCTTGTGATTGGTTCAATCCTCTGCACGGTGATATAATCACCTTACTTATTTATATTCCCGCAAACTAGTTGTAGCAAGCTCTTTAGTATAACTAGAATTGAGAGCTTGCTTTGTAGCTTAAGTTCATCTAATGGAGCTTTTTAGTGTAGCTAGTGTGAAAGGTATGAGTGACTAAGTAACTTAGCTACCACGGACCGTACAGCCGGCAGAATTAGTTTTATTTTGTTTTAATTCAAAAATTCAAGCCGGCCGATTGCAGACGGAGACCAAAGGCGACGAAACGACGCCCCCTGGTCTGCAGGAAGCAACCACCTACAGCCTAGCTAGGTTGATAGATATATCTGTGACCATATACTTGCACAAAGAGCTGTAGGAGCCAGCCACCTGCCATGGCCATGGTTATGGGTTCCAAGAGCCCTCCTCTCCTCCTCAGCCTCGCCTACCTCTGTGTCTGTGTTGCCCATGTCACCTCGCTTAGCTTCGACTACAACTTCTCCATCCCCGGCGTCCTCAACAGCGCTAACATCAAGTACATGTCTGACGCCACTCCTGGCAGCGATCGGATCGACCTGACGAACGACACGATCTGGAGCACCGGCCGTGTGGCGTACGGGCAGCCGTTGCAGCTCTGGGACGACACCGGCAACGTCGCCAGCTTCACCTCCAACTTCACCCTCGCTATCAAGCCGCACAACAGCACCAACCAGGCAACTTAACTATCCAAAGAACTTCTAATTAAGCTTTCTCGATGTTCTCACCAGCTCTCGTTAGATGTGAGACTTGCTGCGCAGTGCAGGCCGACGGCATGGCGTTCTACGTCGGGCCGTGGCCGCCAAACCTGCCGGGGGACTCCCCAGGCGGCTTCCTCGGTCTCTTCAACAACCCCAACCCCAACAACACGGCCAACGCCGTCTTCCCGCCGACCGTCGCCGTGGAGTTCGACGCGTTCAGGAACTACTGGGACCCCAACAACACCGTGAACCATCTTGGCGTGGACGTCAACAGCATCACGTCGCGCGCGTACATGGCGCTGCCGGACGGGAGCTTCAACGGGACCATGTCGGCGTGGGTCAGATACGAAACCGACATGAGCACGCTGTCAGTGACCCTTCGCTTCGACGATCTGCCGGAGCTGGGCCTCTACAACGTCAGCGCGATCGTCGACTTCAAGGACGCCGGGCTGCCGGCGTACGCGGCGGTCGGGTTCTCGGGAGCCACCGGGGATTTCATCGAACGCCACCAGATTCTTTCTTGGTCGTTCGAGTCCACTCTCACCAGCCTCGCCGTCGTCAACAAGACCGGTAAGTGTCTTCCCTGCCTATAGAAAAAAAAAGGAAACTTCTTCATCGTGACTATCTTTATTTACCGTTTCACATTGGTCAGTAGTTGGATCTTACGTGGTCTACGAACATAATGTACTGCTTTTCTGAAATCAAATTCATAATCTGGGAACAAATTTTATTATCACCAAAATGTACATGCGTTCTATGCAAAATCTCTCGACAAACCTGTATGTTCAGTGAATAATGTGCAATTTTCATAAGCGTCTACAAAACTTTTAGTGGATATGCATCAAATCAAATTTACTATTTCCTCGATTTCAAATTGTAAGACGTTTTATCTAGATCCATAGTTTTTGTTATGCACTTATTATTAGATATATTATGTCTAGATATATATAGAAAAACAATGTATCAAAAAAACAAACATCTTATAATTTATTTATAGTATGGTGGGAGTATGTTAGCGTGTCCATCAATTTTTGAGTAAAGTCCGATTTACCCCTTGACTAAATTAAAAGAAAAACTTAATACCAAACAACATATACACCCCGACTTTCAAATATGGATATAATACTCTACTTGACCATTTCAAAGTGGTTTCTCGATGATTTTATGATGTGGCGGCGGAGCCCACGTGTTAAATGGCCACTCTATGTCTTTTATGTAAAAAAACCATAATTTTTTCATATGAAGTCAGTTGAATATAAATTTTATATCAAAATTATAGAGATCAATGCGATCTACAACCTTGTAGTTGATAACCTTTTTATTTGATATCTTTTAGATGATCAAATATCTATTTTAAATTACATATTTTAAATTTTTATTTTTGAAACAACCTAGGATGTTGGCACGGTCTATACCAAAACTGTACATCTAATTAATGTGATCTACAATTATGTTGTCGACAAGTTCTTTTATCCGAGATTGTTTAGAGGCCCAAATATTTGTTTTAAGGTCCTAGATTTTGAAATTCAAAACTTTTGAATTTTTTAATCAACCTTGGATGTTGACATGCATGATATTTGATATACACCAAATTTGTAGCTCTAAATGGCATATACAACTTTGTAGTTGACAACATTCTTGTGAGATCATTTAGAGCACCAAATATTTATTTTAATTTCTCAGATTTGAAAATCCATTTTGTTTGAATTTTTCAAATTATCTCGTACATTGACAAGGTATATACTAAAGTTATAGACCTCAATGTCATCTATAACTTTGTAGTTATAAACTTTTTTATTTGTTTAGAGGTCCAAATATTTGTTTTGAGGTACAAAGTTCTTTGATTATAAAATTCAAAATTTTGATTTTTTCAATCTGACCTTGGTGGAGACGCTCTATTCCAAATTAGAAGTTCTTGAAGAGATCTAAAACTTTGTAGTTGAAAATATTTTGATTTGATATCATTTAGGAGCCGAAATGCTCAAACCAAAGAAATGTGGTATCCACATGCTACAATAGCCAAAACCACGCCATGGAAACCACTCTAAACTATTTTAGAGAGGTTTTTATCTGATTTTGAATTATGGAGGTACGTTTTCTGGTCTTCGAGTTTGAGGTGTTTTCTAAATTCAGCGACAATTTCGGGGGCCCAATTGGACTTCGTGGTTATGTGATTACGTTAGTCATCAGTGAATGATATGCAATTTTTTTGTAGGATCTGCAGTTGAGTTTGTGGTTATGTAACTACAGTACTATTTGAACTTTAGGCATCTAATTTAATGTGCTTGTAAATGACAGAAAACAACACTACAAAGACGAAAAACGTAAGCCTAATAGCCGGACTGGTACCCACCGGGATCGTTGTACTACTGCTTGTCGTTGCGGTGTGCCTCGGCTATCGCAGATACCTAAAAAGACAGAGTGCGAAACAAATACAAGAGGCACCAGAAGGCACAAAGATTCCTCTCGACGAAGACATGAACGATGAGTTTGAGAAGGGGACAGGGCCTCGGAGATTCACCTACAGCCAATTGTCACAGGCAACACACGGATTCTCCGACGACGAGAAGCTCGGTGAGGGCGGTTTCGGATCAGTCTACCGAGGGTACCTGCAGGACCAGGGGCTCCATGTAGCCATCAAGAGGGTCTCCAAGACGTCGAGGCAAGGGAGGAAGGAGTACATCTCCGAGGTGACCATCATAGGCCGTCTCAGGCATCGAAACCTTGTGCAGCTTGTTGGGTGGTGCCACGAGGCCGACGAGCTCCTGCTCGTGTACGAGCTCATGACGAACGGCAGCCTCGACGACCATCTCTACAGCACGAGTGACATTCTAACATGGCCAGTCAGGTATGAACATTATCAGTCAAATGAATTGGTCTAATTCGCAAAAAAAAAAAAAAAAAGAATTGGTCTGTTCAATTGATGGTATTACTAGTTTTTTAAAACTTCAAGTGGCGTCAGGTACAACATCATTCTTGGCATGGGCTCTGCTCTCCTGTACCTTCACCAGGAGTGGGAGCAGTGCGTGGTGCACCGGGACATCAAGCCGAGCAACGTGATGCTGGACTCGTCGTTCAACGCCAAGCTCGGCGACTTCGGCCTCGCCCGCCTCGTCAACCACAGCCACGCCACGCACACCACGATGCTCGCCGGCACCAAGGGGTACATAGACCCGGAGTGCGTGGTGACCAGCCGCGCGAGCGCCCAGTCCGATGTCTACAGCTTCGGCGTCGTCCTCCTCGAGATCGCCTGCGGTAGGAAGCCCGTCGTCCCGCAGGAGGACGAGGACAAGGTGTTGCTCGTGCACTGGGTCTGGGACATGTACGGGAGAGGCGAGCTCCTCGACGCCGCGGACGCGCGGCTGCACGATGCCGGCGAGTTCGACGTGCTGGAGATGGAGCGGACGCTGGTCGTGGGGCTGTGGTGCATGCATCCAGACCGCGAGTCCAGGGCTTCCATCCGGCAGGCTATGAACGTGCTGCAGTTTGAGGCTTCTTTGCCGGAGCTCCCGCTAGAGATGCCCGTGGCGACGTACGGACCACCTGTTTCTAGAGGTTACCGGTCGAGCACCACATCTTCATCCGTGAGTGAAAACACTCCTGCAGGCCACTCGTCGACTAGTGATTGGACGGCGCACTCCTCGGGCTCGTCAGTGAAGAGTGGCACCCAAGGGACACGCTCTTTTGTCACTTCCAACACAAGGAATACAGCAAGAGGCAGTGTACGAGAACCCACCTCATCACCCGGTCGTATCTCGGACCGGCCGAGCACTCGTTCAAGCGGTGGACTCTCGGACAGGACACTCTATTCTTCGTAGCTTGTCTGACTTTGTATAGGTCTATATATTGCCCGTCGTCTTATCATGTGCCTTGTTTTTGTGCTTGCAGCTAGCCATCAGTTAAGGTACTCCTCTAGTCTACGATATAATGTGAGATACGTTTTTTTGGGTTGAACAGACGAGTGCATACAACTCAATATGGTATCACAAATAGGTAGGATCTTTTTTTTTTTCACACCACCCACCTATTGTATGTCCTCTGCTAGTCTCAACTCAGTCTTCAAACTTTTGGGATGAATTGATCGGTTAATCCAACTCAATATGGTATCAAAATCATGCTCTTGAGTTTAAATCCTAACATCATAATTAAATAAAATAGTCACAGTCGACTCATATTTCCACTTTTGAGGCATGAGGCAGACTCATATTTCCACATTTGAAAGACTCAAAGTATAATGGAAATGTCATCTTTTTCTAACAACTTAAACTTTTGGGCTAAACCGACCGGTGCATACGGCTCAATATAGTGGCAACTAAATTTTGTAGCATCGGTCATTTCGGGAAAATGAGAGGGTTGGGTTTTGGATATGGAGTAAAATTCCATACTGTACTTCTTGATTCCATAGTGCATAGCTCTTGCTGAGATAACTAAAATTCATCTCTGAATCAACCAATTTGAATTTAGATGCAAAAAATTATGACAATTGATATTATTCAGCTCATCAAACCGGAGGATCCTAGCGTTACAATAATTTGACACTTAGTTGTAAGAGTTTTGCCTCCTAACCGGTGTAGGTATCCCCATCCTTTAAATATACGAAAATTCTCAGCCACGGGTGTCCGTCTCGTCCGGACTCACCTCCCACGCCTGTGCAGCCGACTGGCCCTATCTCTCTAAAAAAATCCTCACTCCCACACGACAGCCACCTGCAGCTCCGCTCCCATTCCGTCGGTGCCAGGGGCAACCAACTCCACTTACTTCCCCCGGGGCCCTCGCCTACCTTCGCGATGTCAGGCTCCGCCACTGGAGTCACACCTCTCGTCTGCCCCCGCCCTCATCGCCGGTGCTGACACCGGCATCCTCCTCATCACCTCCTCCTACTGTTAGAGAAGGCGAGGGCATCGTGGCCGTGTCTTACTTCGCGCCCGCCTCGAGGCTCCTCGTGCCCTGGTGCCCGTGCGGATGAAGCTCACGATAGCCAAGTCTGTGGTGCTCTTCGCTCCGCCGCCTCCCAGCCCCAATCTGCCTATCGAGGTGGTTATTGAGTTCCCCAACGCGCCTGACATGGTGGTCATCGCGCCAGTGTCACGCCTGACATGTTGCAAGCGTATGTTTCAGATGTTTCAGAGGTATATTGCAAGTGTTTCATATGGATGTTGCAAAAGTAAATCATGATGTTGCATTTATGGCAGTGCCTATACACATATGTTGCATGCGTCTGCTCCAAATCTTTCATCTGTTTTTCAAATGTATGTTTCAAGTGTGTTTATTTGGATGTTGCATATGTTTCACACAAATGTTGGAAGTGTTTTATCTAGATGCTGCATATGTTTTGCAATGGCTTTTCAAGTGTTTTTAGGTGTTTTTGCAAGTGTTTCAGATGCATGTTTTAACTATTTCATCTGTCTTCATACGTATGTTACAAATGTTTCATTTGGATGTTTTAAAAGTAGATTGGGTGTTGCACATGTTGCAATGGCGTCGTTGGCTGGCAGACGGGGACGCGACGGGACTTGGTGCGGACCTTGACGGAGGATTAGCTGTCCAGGGATGCAAAGAAGGCAGCGCGGCGAGGGATGGGGCACAGCGCTGCATGACATGGCCGGAGCCTACGAAGGGGCGTGGCAGGGACTATGGAGGGGGCGCGGTAGGGGGGCGCCAAAAATGGCAGCGCGGTGGCGGATGGGAGCGCGGAGACAATAGGCCGTGGATGGGTACACGGGCGCGACAGCTTCTGTTCATCGAGTCGAATTACCATAACGTGCATCCGGATGTGTCCTTTGGGCCAGATCTCCGGGCGCTAGTGTTGCCCCCGTGGCGGCCATAGGATAGGAACCGTGGTGAGCTGTAACACGCTCGGTGTTACACAGTGAATCACTTGCTAAAACATGTCATGAGCATCATACTTAAGTGATATTGCATGTGGTGTGATGGATAGGTAAATCATTGTAAATGAAACGAGTCATAGAAACGTAAAACGAAAAGTTAGTTCATGATTTATAAAGTTAGCAAGTAGAGATGTTAACTAATTTTTATTGAACAAAAACACTATAAAACATATATGTGACACCTTAATAAAGTTTGAAGTACACATTTTGTAGAAGATAGTGCAACTTTTGGTTTAACAAGATAATAACGCTAGCTAACATTTCTAATAGCTTGAAAATCGAATTTGAAGCAAATCCAACTCAAGACTTAGTCAATTTCTTAAGCCTGAAAATAGATTGACAAAGCTATGTTTGATAATTTATTCTGTAAAAATTGAGTTTAGGAGTGGTGTCGTTCTTTAGCTCTTGTTGATAGCCTAAGGTGCCCTCTTTAGAGTAGTGAAGGTGGTTTGGGGATTGGATCAACTGTGTAGTTGTTTTGAACGCTTTAAAATCCATGCAAAGTATGTTCTCGGGCTATTTTTCCCAGCTGGACAGGATCACCATGCCGAGCGGCCTTGACGTCGTGGCGCTCGGTGCGTGCAAGCGCGCGCGTGGCCGCGCGCTGGCCGACCAGAGCTACCCACACTCTGGCCGCATCACTAGCCACCTCGGGCTGCCGCCGCGCGGAGCCGTGGCTGCCCGACTCGGCCCATCGCGCTGCCCCCACCTGCTGCCGTTGCCACACGTTGCTGCTGCCCTTCGTGCCATGCAATGACAACGCTATTGCCGCTGCTATCGCATCGCTGCGCTGCGCCACTGACCCTCCTGTACGCTGCACGCACGAGGCCAAACCATCGTCGCCATGCCATTTATGGCACTACGGCGCGCGGGCCACGTCGACCTCGAGCGCGTGTCGTCGGCTAGTGCTGGTCGTGGTCGCTCCGGTCGCGTCAACCGCATCCCACCAAGCAAGCACAGGCCGAGCCTTGACTGTGTCCCCACCGTCTCCCGCCCCTTCCCTGTCCTCTTCTTTGCTGCCGTCGCCGAGCCGCGCCATCCCGCCTGCATGCGAGAAACCATCCCCCATCAATTCCACGTGCCTACACCTATGCTCTCATGTCCTCTCGCTGCCCGCCCCCACCCAGACTTGAACCGTGTAAGGCCAGGCTCCAATTTGGAGCTTCGCCCCGCCACCGCGCCGTTAAGACCCATCATCGCCCTAACCGTGGCCAGCCCCCTCCTCAACGTCTCGAGCTAAATTAGTGGCACCACTAGCCCCGCCTAGAACCCCTCCTCATCATGCGCACCTAAGCCGCACCTCTACCATTGCCTCCTCACCGATGGCACGGCTGTGTCGTTGTGGTTCGCAGTCGA